CCAAGATTAACCTTCAGGGTGGATATAGCTCGCTAGCAGCCTCGCACCGAGGACCTATCCACGTCATCATTTACCCAGAATGCTTTGTGTCTAAGTAAAATGGCTCCGTCCATGTTAAAATATATGTTTTTTTAACTATAAAAATCTAAACATCCTACAGTATTTTTACAATCTTTATTTTAGTCAAAATAAATGTTTATTAAATAGTCTGATGTCTAATCATGGATCCCTTTAAAGAATCAATACTGCCGTTGATTAAAGCTGATTGAAATGAGCATTTTACTGTGAGACTGCCTCGTTTTTTGTTTTTCACATAATGTTACATCAATCCTGAGGAAAAAGATGGAGTTCAGCGCTGACTCAACATGTCCTGTTAAGTTTGACAGGCTGCATTATGTACCTGTCAAGTCGTTTGTGTAATTTGTAAAGCTTTTATTCCTCTGTTATGTAAAATAAATTGTTGTTGGTAAAACTGCTGCTTGTGTGAAGTTAGTCTGACAGACATGAGGCAGCTTGTGTTTTCACTGCATTTTCACTGAAAAAGTCAAACTTTTGGTCAAGATTTGTATTAAATAATAAAGCAGGTGTTTTTTCATTGAATAGATTTAAAAATCACCTTTTCTGTTGAATCTGTAGCAGAAAGCTGAAGCAGCTGCAGTCTGACCGTTCTGCAACCTGTGTTGCCACAGTGTTTATTTGTTTGTTTGTTTGTTTGTTTGTGTCTGCAGCAGTGTGGAGGGGTTTGGGCTGGAGGCGGAGGCCAGGATGACCACCTGGCACGTGATGATGTCCACAGAGAACGAAAACGAGTCCACGCACAGTCACGACGTTAGCGAAGGTGAGCTGGAGAAATGATATTTCCTGTAAAAATGGAGTGTGGATGTTTAGAGCCGAATACGCCGAAGCTAAAAAGCTAAAGGAACAACAATGGCTAAAAGCTAGAGTTGGCAAAGTTCCCTCTGGCATCAGTAAACCAGAGCGACTTCCTGTAAAATGTCGCAGGACGTCAGCTGCTGCTGAAGGCCGTGAACCGTGTCTGGACAGAACTGATGCACAGCAAGCGTCAGATGCTGGAGGACATCTTCAAAGTGTCTCTGCCCTGCAACGACAGAGGACACGTGGACATCGTCACAGCTCGTCCCGCTCTGGAGGAGCCCGCCCTGAAGAGCTGGCAGAACCATCTGGGTGAGCAGAACACATCGAAAACAAGTTTTACCAACGTGTAGCTGAGTGTTTCCTCAGCCGGGAGCTTTCTGACTGTTGGGCATGTGTAGCTAACAGCTAAAGGTGCTGTTTGGTTTGATTAGCTAACAGCTAAAAGTGCTGTTTTTTACATGTAGCTAAGAGCTAAAGATGCTGTTTGACATGAGTAGCTAAGAACTAAAGGTGCTGTTTAGCATGAGTAGCTAAGAGCTAAAGATGCTGTTTGGCTTCTGTAGCTAAGAGCTAAAGGTGCTGTTTGGTATGAATAGCTAACAGCTAAAGGTGCTGTTTGGTATGAGTAGCTAAGAGCTAAAAATGCTGTTTGGTATGAGTAGCTAAGAGCTAAA